CCCTGGGTGTCTGATTCACTAGGTTTGGCAAAGGGTCAGAGAATTTGCATTTTTAATAAGTTCCTAGGTCTGTTGATGGTGCTGGCCCAGTGACTACATTTTGAGAACTGCTGTAGTTTCAGTAGTGGTAGCTATTAGTTGAGTACTTACCAGTTTACTCCTTACCACAAACTGTGGTAAGTTCCTTATATATGTTATTTCAATTACCATTCTACCAACCCCATGACATAGAAATTGTTATCCTTATTTTACAGATGAAATCTGAGGCATAGAGTTATTAAATAACTTGTCCAGTGTCTTAAGTGCAGGGCTGAGATTTGAACTAATTCCTAACACATAGTCTTATGTGTTTCAGGTAAATACCTGACAATGTGCAGCCAGTAACTCCTTAGATAAATGTGCAATTATATCTTCCTACAAACAACTAAATGTCAGCTCTATGACAGCAAGGGTCTGGTCTCCCTTATTCTTTGCTTTATTTCTAGAGCCTAGAAAAAAGTTTACATAAAGTAAGTGCAGAACGAATAAATAATTGTTGAAAATTAATGCATAAAATAGGCAAAGAATCTTTCTGTGACTGAAGTAGGTACATGTTCACATATATAGACTGAGTGTGCAGAATTCCTCAGTTGGACTGATGGATATTTATTTTATTCCAGCTCAAGATCTCTGAATTGGCAAGACCTCTTTAAATAAGAGACTATATTGGTCAGTGTCTCTCAAATTGTGGTTTTTGGACCAGCAGCATCTGCCTCACCTGAGAACTTTGCAAATAAAATACAGGCACAGCAGATTAAATTTGAATTTCAGATAATGAATGAATAATGAAATATTTGGGACATACATATACTAATCACACCATCAGTGTAATTCTTATGCATCTTAAAGTTTGAAAACCACTGCCCTAGGCAATGCCTTGTTTACCCATAGCGTGGGGTAGCCAAATGTGGCCTGCTGTTTTTGGCACGTAGTCATGCCCACACCCATTCTTTTACTTTTTATTTATTTATTGATTAAATTCCCTGCCCTTGTGGAGATTATATTCTAGTGGTGGGGGGCTGCATTAATTATATTTTCAAGTATAAGTAATAATAAAGCCAACTAAAATTGACTTAAGTAATAAAGGAACACATTATCTTGCATAGCCAGAAGTACAGAGGTAGGGTAGGCTCCAGGGCTGGTTGCTTCAGCAGTTCTTTGTGTTACAAGGGCATGACAGGACAAAGACTTTACAGCACTGAAAGCCTAGTGTTTATTATCTGGCCATTTACAGATAACGTTTGCTTAACCCTTACCCAAGAGAACTTCCTCTGATAATAGAAGCATATTCTCAGCTATCTCTAACAGATGCTGGAAGCTGGGACAGGACAGACACTGAGGTTCAGAAAATGAAAAAAGTTCCTTCTGGCTCTCCTTGTATTGCTATTGTTCTTGGCTTCGAGTGGGGAAGAGAGAGAGGAAGGCAGCAGAGAAGAGGCTGAAGAGCAGAAAAAGGATTCCCAGAACCCAGAACACCAGTTATGGGCACCCTCTGCTGGAGAGTTGGCAAAATTCTGTGACACAGGACATTCAGTTAACGTGTAGAGGTCTATTGTATGCTGGGTTCTCTTCTTGAAGGGCTCGCAATCAAAAGTAATTAGGCTCCCTAATTAGATCTTTATGTTGTGTAATGAAGTGTTAACTGTAGATGTACTTAATAAATGATTATTGATAATAATATATTTACATTCACTCAGTAACTATTAAATGCTTACTAGGGGGCAGATGCTGGACTGTGCACTGGAGATATAATGGTAAACAAAATACACATTCCCTGCCTTCTTGGAGCTTATATTCTAGAGGAGGTTGTGCTAATTATAACATCACCTGTAAATTACAACAAAGCCAACTAAAATTGAACAATAAAGAAATATATTATCTCACTTAACCATAAGTACAGAGGTAGGACAGGCTCTGGGGCTAGTTGGTTCAACAGCACAAGACATTAATAAAGATCTAACTTATTTTTATCTCATTGCTCTGCCTTCCTGCTTGTGCTGGGTTTTTTCTCAAGTTGTTCCCTTTGAGGTTTCAAGATCGTTGGTACAATTCCAGGTGTCACCTTCAGATATGTCAAGGTACAGAGTAAAAAAGTGATTATCTCTTTGTGTGCCTTTCTTAAGACCAAGAAACTTTCCAGAAGCTCCCAGCAAACTTCGTCTCAGGTTATGGCACTAATCCTAAACCAATCACTGCAAAGGGAATAGATACCAGAACAAAACTAGGGTTCTGTTAACAAGGAAGAAGGCAGGAAATGGATGTTAAATAGATAACTACAAGTATTTGCTATAAGGAGGGGAAATTAACAAATAAAAAGTAATTTTATACTGTGAAGGAACTATGGAGAAGTTAGCTTTTGCTGCTTAACATTTCAAAACTTAATAGCCTAACACAACATTACTCATTATTCTATAACATTTGGCCTGAGCTCAGTTGGGTGGTTATTCTGGTCTTGACTGGGCTCACGCACGTGTTTGTGGTCAGGTGCAAGTCAGCTAGGTAGCTTTGCTCATGGGGTTTCACTGGCTGTTGGGTGAGGAAATAGGGGCAGGTGTCTTTCATTACCCAGCAGGCTCTATTTGGCTTTAGTCTTCTAGTAAATTGGTAAAGTTCCAAGAACTAGAGCAGATGCTTACAAGTATTTTTGAGGCCCAAGCTTAGAACTGTTACATCATTACTTCTGCTGCATTCTTTTGGTCAAATCAGGTAAGAAGGCCAGAAGGATGAAGAAATAGACTCCATCTCTTGATGGGAGAAGCCGCAAAGTCGTATTGCAAGGGCATGGACACAGGAGGAGGAAGAATTTGTGACATTTTTGCAATTTACCACAGGTGATAAGAGTAACAGGGAAAGCCACGTGGATCTGCCTTCAAGAGAGACTATCATTTGGAAAGTTTTAAATCAGCAATCTGTCTCCTTTGAGCTGAAATTCTTATGCTAGGATGGTTGTTACGGATAATTTCATGACAGTGTTTTTTCCAGGCAGCAAAAGTTCAGTCCGTGATACTGTGATTTAAAACAATAATATTAAAGAGACATAGAATCATGGCATATTTACTGCAGACAATTTCAGAGATTATGTAATCCAATTCGTCCATTTTAAAACATTTATAAAATTAAATTTTGTTATTAATATGGGCACATAGTTTAAAAAGTCAAACTGTACAAAGATCTTTTTTTTTTTTTTTTTTTTTTTTTTTTGAGACAGAGTCTCACTCTTTTGCCCGGGCTAGAGTGAGTGCCGTGGCGTCAGCCTAGCTCACAGCAACCTCAAACTCCTGGGCTCAGGCGATCCTCCTGTCTCAGCCTCCCGAGTAGCTGGGACTACAGGCATGCACCACCATGCCCGGCTATTTTTTCTAGATATTTTTAGTTGTCCAATTAATTTCTTTCTATTTTTTAGTAGAGACGGGGTCTCGCTCTTGCTCAGGCTGGTTTCGAACTCCTGAGCTCAAACAATCCGCCCGCCTCGGCCTCCCAGAGAGCTAGGATTACAGGCATGAGCCACCGTGCCCGGCCTGTACAAAGATCTTTTAAACAAGAAACAGTTTTCTGCTCATGTTCCATCCCTCAGAAGCAACTTTTAATATTTTTAGCTGTTCCTTTTTGTATTTACCTCATAATTCTAAGTAATATGCAGCTGCTTCTCTTTTGATTCATTAGTTTTGACATATATTGACTATGATAGAAGAGGATTTTTAGCTATTTACACCTCCTCTTCCTCTGCTCCCGTTTTCTTAATGTAGTTAAATAACAATATTTATTTAACCCACATTTGGAGTTTTTATTAAGATTATTGTGGTAGGCTGAATAATGCCCCCTCCCTCCGCCCCCGCAAATAGTCATGTCCTAATCCCTGGAACCTGTGAATATTATCTTACATGGCAAAAGAGACTTTGCAGATAAGGTTAAAGATTTTGAGACAGGGAGATTATCCTGGATTATGCTGGTGGGCCCTAAATGCAATCACAAATATCTTTATAAGAGGGAGGCAGAGCGATGTTTGACACAGAGAAGGAGTATCTGACATAAGATAGGTGATCAGAGTTTATGGAGCTGCAGTGGAGGCTAGAGGACTGTTCCTAACTCTGATCCTCCATATATAACCTGAGGTTGGGAAGACAGACCTGCTTGTGGCTGGTGGCCTAAACTCAAATATTTCAAATTAGGCAGAGACTCTTTACCATCCTTCCAAGAGGAAGAGCAATTGAAGCTGTGAAAGGCAGAATGAGTGTTGGTGGCAATCAGTACTTGATGACAGTTCTTTTGGCTAATGTTTTGTATTTCCTGTGAACCTTTTCTGCAAATGCATCTAGAAAAGAAAGAGACATTTTACAATAAAACTCCCACTAACTAAACACAGCTAGGCACTATTCTAAGTGCTTTATATATATTAACTCATTGAATATTCACAGCAATCCTAGGAGATAGGCACAATTATTATTCTTATTTTGCAAATGGGGACACTGAAGCACAAAGATGTTATATAACTCTCCCACAGTTGTACAGCAAATTAGCGGGAGAATTCAGTGAAGCTGGAAAGAACTATAATAAAATTGTAAACAAGTACAAAACAATTGGTTAGAAATTACTACTTCCGAGATACTGCGGAGCAGAAAAACACTGACTTAGATCAGGACTTCAATTCGGGCTCCAACATGTACGTCTGTGTAAAGATTGGTAGCTGGTTACTAGGAGCCTCGCCTATAAATTTCTTCGCCTATAAAATTGAGATTATAATACTTACCTTGTAGGGTTTTATAAGGATCTAGCGAAGTGATGATTGTAAAAGCGTACTGTTACTCTCTAAAATGTAACACAAACGTTGGAAACGCCTCCCAATAGTGTTCTTGGAAACTTCGGATCCCGACTATCAATCCCTCTCCCGGAAACTGGCGCAGGGCCCTCTGGGACTTGTAGTCTTGTACTGGCTCTAGCCTGCCTTTCTCCCTTAGTTGGGGAACCGGGTGTAAGCCCCGGAAGTACTCGTCGCCCGGGAGCGCGCTGGTTAGGAAGGGAGGGTCAGAGGTTGTAGGGGCAGAAGGCGTTCCTGCCGCTGGCCCAGTTGCTATGTAGTGAAGGGGCAGACGTTCTCCCGCAAGTTCTGGAAGGTTCTTGGGCTTGACTAGGCCAGTAGCCCCAGGACTCCTAGTCGCAGGCTTCAGGTTCCTGCCGGCTGAACGGAGCCGCCGCCGTCATGTTTGGCTGTCTGGTGGCGGGGAGGCTGGTGAGGATGGGGCCGGGTGGTATTAGGAAGGGGTCGGGTTACTGAGGGCGAAACCCTGGGGAGGGGAGGGTGCGCCGGTGCTAGGGATGCGGGGAAACCCACTCATTGTGTATATTTTGGTTGGATGTGTGAGGATGGAGCGTGGGACGCTGGCTTGCTCTTACTTGCCCAAAGATGAATTTGAATAGTAGTCAGGATATTAGCTGCCATTTGAGTGTGCATTTTGTGCCTGGTACTGGGTTAAGTGCTATACATGCCTTTTGTCAATTACTCATTTCAGCCTCTGTGTAGTGCTTATTTGGCACCTCGAACAATCCTCATAACTCGTGAGATGGTTATTTTAATTTCCATTTCGCAGTTGAGGAATTTAAGCTCAATCGGCAATATAAATACTCGCCTAACCTCATAACGTGAGTTAGGTAGAGGTAAACCTGGGATGTGAATCTAGTCTGTAGCAAACTATTTGTCAAAGATTAAGGTGCTCAGGCAATGCATATCTACTGGGTGTCTTTAGAAAGACCCTAGTGAAAATATGCATAACATAACTGGAAATCGGCTGAAAGAAACTCCTGAAACTTATTTGTGAGCCATATCTGAGACGACCAGAGAAGGATGCGAGCAATGTGTTTCCTTATTGGTCGTAAGAGATAAATCTACTTTGCTGTGTTATTAGAATTAAATGAGATCAGCGCCCGGAATTGTTTAGGAATAATTTGCAGGGCGAATCTTGTTTGCTTCCTTAGAAACCACTCACACATCCATTTTCAGACATGAATTCTTTCACCTGGAGTTCTTTTTCTTTCTGCTTTATTAAATGATGCAGCCCCTTTGTTGAATTGGTTTTTTGTCCATCAACTTTTTTGAGACAGAGTCTCGCTCTCCCTGGGTAGGGTGCAGTGCCGTCTGCCTAGCTCACAGCAACCTCAGACTCCTGGGCTCAAGTGATCCTCTAGCCTCAGCCTCCCGAGTACTGGACTACAAGCGCGCGCCGCGACCACCGGCTGGTTTCCCATTTTTGTTAGAGACTACATCTCGTTCTTGCTCAGGTTGATCTCAAACTCCTGAGCTCAAACAGTTCTCCCGCCTAGGCCTCCCAGAGTGCTGGGGTTACAAGTGTGAGCCAGTGCGCGCCTGGCCAGTCCGTCAACTTTTGATAATGTGTTGTATTCTGTACACAGTTAAAGAAACCACATGGATAAATTGCAGACGACTAGCCTCAAAGTTTATTGTCTGTCTCTTGAATGACTGGAGGATTCCTATAGTGATGGTGGTAATAGGTAGTCCTGGTGAGATGATTTTGGATTGCCCCTGCTCTTGATAAAGAGGATGAAAGACCAACCTGGGATAAGCATGAGTGTGGGACTCAGATGAATGAGTGTTATTAATGAGTGATGTTAAAAGGGTATGTGTTTTGTAAAGTATAAAAAGAATCCATGTATTTCTCATGTTGTCTACTAATTTGGAAGGAAATTTAGTTGTAGCAGTACCTGTGTCTATTTACCCAACACTCCTAACTTCTGTAATGGATATCCAATAGAGGTTCCTTACAGATGAGATTTACTGGGGGTGTTTGACTCTTTAATTCTGGAGTGTTAGAACACATTAATCAAAATGAAGGGCAAGTAGACCTAGTGACATCTCAAAATTTAACTATATTATTCTGTTACCAGAAAAATCCACTTATCTAAAGTTAAGAACCCAGTTTTCATTTCTTGAATTTTTTCTTAAAGAGGTATGTTTTTTCTTAAAAGTCAAGGATTAGAGTGTCATAATACTGATTTACAGATTGGTGCTTGTACAGTTAACACTTAAGAAATATTTATTTTGCCTGCTAATTATTTCAAGACTCATAAGTACCATAGTTTTCCGTGCTTTTTAAGGTTACATGCATGCTAGAGGCTGGTGGGATTGAATATAATACTAATGAATGCCATTTGGTTTATGTTCTTCCTTTGTTTCATTCTTTAGACTTAAACTGGAGGGTTTTTAATTGGGTCATAAGACTTCTGAAGAAAGGAATCAGGACTTGACTTTAAAAACACTCAACTTTTGTATTTTGAGATTTAATTTAGGGTAGTCGATATTACTTTAATACATAGATGAAATTATATAGCAGCATATTTTTCTTAAGCTTGTATTAATGAATGGGATATTATAGAGGGAAAAGCTTAGCATTTTTGGTAACAAGTAGGAAATATTAGGAACAAAATAATTTGCATTCTAGGCAATAAAATTGTTTAGTCTTCAAAAATAATAGTAGTAACTCGGATTTGGTATTTTGGCAAAGAGAATGGCAATAGCAATTAAAAAAACAAAACCAAAAACCCTTATATAAGATAAATTCTTGACAACCTATCACCTGAGTGCTCTCAGAATTAATATTTCTTTTTGCTAATGGATTTGAAATAGCAATTTTCAATTTCTTAACTGTAAAAAGAATTTTTTCTATGAAAATAGATTTCTCTCAAACTTCAAAATAAGATCTAATGTTATAAATTGATGTTTAATTCTAGAACAGAAAATTATATTATGAAATAAGAGGAAACTTTTACAAGTTCTCACGTACAAAACTTAAGGTAGAACTTTTACATTTTTACGAGCAATTGATCCTCATTCTTCCCGGTAGTTATGTTCCATCAAATCTCTGAACACCGAAGTGATGGATATGGAATAATTGCCCCCAGCAAAACTGCAGGGTTAGGTTTCTGTGAGCCTCTAGTAACAACATTTTTAATCGACTTATAAGCTTGTTTTATGTGTTTCTGTTTAGAGATAATTCAATAGGTGTTGCCGATTCATTAACATTCAAATCATGCCAATAACACTATAACTCATGGCTGAAGAAAAACTTACCAAACACATGTATTTTCTCCGTAAGGCGTGTCATGGCCTTCTTGCACTTAGGAACACTAGTCAGCACTTGAGCTTGGTGATTTTAAACAGCAAAATCGCCAACAAAAAATACAAAAATGCAAATAAACGTGGCATTAAATAGACTGAAAAGGATATTTGTTCATGGTACGAGGGCTGAAACAAGAAGATGCAGCATAGCCTTGTCCCACCTCAGCTGGCACTGTGTGAGTCAACTCAAATTTTTTGCTGCTCTGGCCATAAGCGTGTTTATGAATGACTGCAGAAGTGCAGCAAGCATTGATTTGGGGTTACAAATAAGTTTTAGTGAGGTGAATTCACAAATATGGAATGTGCAAATAAGGAGGATTGACTGTAATTACTGCTGGATTGCTTACCCATTTTAATTACCTGAGGTTCTTTACTTTTAAACTGGAAGATGTGAGCTTGGTGGTGGTGGGTTGAACAACCTTTCATTTTTACATTCTGAAGCTGTCTTTATGTCAGTAAAATCCTTTCAGGGTACCTCTGAAATAATTTAGTTACATTTTTAAAAATTGCATTCAGTAAATTATCATTGCAGGGCTAAATACATATAGTTTGGATTCTCTGTTAGAATTAACACTTTTTGGTATATTTGATAGTTTCATAATTAAAGTATCAAGTTAACCCATCATTATACTTGGTATAACGACTGTAATGGACTATGCTGGTAAGATACCTCATAGCAATGCTATAACAGTTATAGAAACTCATCAAAGTATTGAACTAAGACGAGTTTCTTATTTTCTAGGTGCAAACAGCTGCACAGCAAGTGGCAGAGGATAAATTTGTTTTTGATTTGCCTGATTATGAAAATATCAACCATGTTGTGGTTTTTATGCTGGGAACAATCCCATTTCCTGAGGGAATGGGAGGATCTGTCTACTTTTCCTATCCTGATTCAAATGGAATGCCAGTGTGGCAACTCCTAGGATTTGTCACCAATGGGAAACCAAGTGCCATCTTCAAAATTTCAGGTCTTAAGTCTGGTAAGAATAATATATTGAAATAGTTTCATAATTAGACTTTTTTCTTTAATAGCATACTTGGAATATGGCTTTAATTTACTTTCTATTTTTCTAGTTGCTAAAGTAACACATAACATTATTTTTTAAAAAGGAGACAATGTAGAAACATTTGAAAAATAGGAAGTGAAAGACTTTCTTGGCTCTTCCCTCCCACCCTGGAGAGAACCACTCACTGTTGTTCTCTTATACCTTTGTAGAAGGATTTTTCTGAATTAGTGGGTGGGTATTTTAGTAAATAATAAGAGGAGTCTTCTCATAATTTATAATATGCACATCTGTGTTTTAAATGAGAAGATAACTCAGGTGGACTTGTATTGGAAATAAAATGAGAGTGCTTCTTTTCTTTCATTAAGAGTTTTAAACTCAGTCAGGCGTGGTGGCCCATGCTTGTAATCTGAACTATTAATACATGGGAGACTAAGGCAGGAGATTGCTTGAGCAGGAGTTTGGGACTGCAGTGAGCTATGATTGTGCCACTGTACTCTAGCCTGGGTGACAGAGCTAGATCCCATCTCTTAAGAGTTCAACTCTTAGATTTGATTACCCTTCTTCCAATGTTCTTCTTTTGGTTCTGTTGACATTGTGGGGACATAGTCCTTGCTTTGATACTTTGAAGTGTTTCGTGAAGGAACTGAGAGTGAAACTGGATTAAGTGCCTTTACTTCCATTTACTGTCTGGTTCCCTTGAAAATCTGTATGAAGACAGGCTTGAAAATTCTTAAAATATACATTCTTCTAGAAACTGTCTATGGAGTCCAAGGAAAAATTATATTTAGGCAACATGTACATAACATTTATATATTTAACAAACATTTGGGTATTTACTGTGAGATTTAAAGAATGGTTTAAGTTCTTGCCTGAGATACTCATATTCTTATGAAGACAGTTCTGTAGACCAGTAATTAGAAGGGTGAAAAGTAATAGTGGATGTTTATACAAAGTGCTGAGGGAGAATAGAAAAGGTAGCAATTAACTCTTAAGTTGGTTTGAGCAGTTTTCCTGCGGGAGGTGATTTTGAAGCCCTGGAGAAGTCAAGTAGTTTGTCAGGCCTATGAGAGACCTACTGGGCATTCTTTTCTAGGTGGAGGTAATATGCGTATAAGGTGAAAGTTTGAAAGCATGGCATGTTCAGAATGGCACAAGGCAGGGTGTGTATGGGAAAGATAGCCATAGATCATGAAAAGTTTTATATATCACACTGACTCATTTGGAATTTAATAGGTAGGCAATTTTTTTTTGAGACAGAGTCTCACTCCGTTGCCTGGGCTAGAGTGCCGTGGCGTCAGCCTAGCTCACAGCAACCTCAAACTCCTGGGCTCAAGCGATCCTCCTGCCTCATCCTCCCAAGTAGGTGGGACTACAGGTGCATGCCATTGCACCCGCCCAGGTCAGTGATTTTTAATGTGCTGAAGTCACAGACTCATTTGATAGCATTATAAGAAATATGTGTACCATAATGTAAATACTCAAATATTTGCATCCACTCAGAAGCCCATTTATGTACCCCTTCCCAGAAATAACTCCTGAAGGTGTAGAGAAGCCACTAAACAATTTTGGGTAAAGGAATGTTATTTTTGTTGAAGTATCATTTCAAAATGAAATTTTTATTAAAAAAAATTTTTTTTGGCCTGAGGACTGTGCGAAGGACCTGAAGCAGGCTAGTTGGTGGACTCATAACTGCTCTTATTTTATGTAGTTGGAATTCTACAGGAAGAAATGGGAGAGAGCAATATTTAAATCTAAAAATTGTTGAGAATTGATGGTAAATAAGCAATATTTAAAGCTAAAAATTGTTGAGAATTGATGGTAAATACCAGTCTCCAGATTTAAGAAGCAGGTTAAGTCCCTGTAGTCCTTCTCAGTGGGGGGGCGTTTCATGAGATAATTATCCCTAATCTCTAAGGCAACTCTTAAAGTATGATCTCCCGATCTGCAGCTTATTAGAAATGCACATTCCTGGCAGGACCCCAGACCTGATGAATTAGAAACTGGGTGTGGAGTGTAGCAGTCTGTATTTTAATATGTTTCCTAGGTGTTGCATGTTAAAGTTTGAGAATCTCTGCCCTAGGACATCCACAGTACATAATGAATCAATGCTGCTTATACATGGTATAACATGGGTAATTGTTCTGAACAATCTTTAGGAAAGCAGTAGTCACTCTCGAGTCATTTTTTTTCTTCTTTGTGGCTGAACCAAAAAATAGACAATCTACAAGTAGAAAAATATAAATAGATAATTCAGTATATTTTAGTGAAATTACCAAACATTAAATATAAAGAGAAAGTAATAAAGCAACCAGAGAGAGAAAAGTCATTTATAGTTAAGCAGCAGTAGTCACTTTCACAAACTTATCAAGAGCATTAATAGAGGCCAAAAACCAATAGAATAATAAAGTACCAAGGAAAAATAACTTTGAAAACTGTCACACTAAAGTGAAGAAGAAATAAATATATTTTCAGATGGAGATGTAGAATTTACTACTCACAGACTGTTACTTACTGAAAGAACTACTGGAGGTTAGCCAGGTGTGTATCCCAGTGGTTTGGGAGGCTGAGGCAGGAGAGTCACTTGAGGCCAGGAGTTCGCGACCAGCCTGGTCAATGTAACGAGACCCGATCTCTACAGAAAAATAAGAAATGTTAGCTGGGTGGGGTGGTGTGCACCTGTAGTCCCAGCTACTTGGGAGGCTGAGGCAGGAGGATCATTTGAGCCCGGGAGTTTGAGGCTACAGAGCAAGCTATGATCATGCCATTGCACTCCAGCCTGGGTGACAGCAAGACCCTGTCTCAAAAAAACAAAACAGAACTACTGGGGCTAGTTGTACTTGATAAGAGGAAATTGAAGCTAGAATGAAGAAAAGGATTCAAGACACAAAGTTAGCAAAGAAATGGGTAAAGATATCTGGACAGCTTGATTGTATGAAACAGCACAATATATACACCCAAGGATTAAATACTTTTGGAGAAAACAATGTATAAGACAGGAGGGGTAGTGATCTAAGTTAAAGTTTTCTGAGGTTCTGTTCATTAGAAGGAGATTGGTAATACCGATTCTACCGTCAAGTAATCTTGTTAAAAATTTAAGAAAATTAAAAAAAAAACAAGTGCATCCTCCAAACCATTGGAGTAGGTGCAGTAACGTAGTAGAGAAAACAGTGAATCCATTAGAATGCAAGAAAAGAGGAAAAAGGTAAAATAGAGGGGAAAAGCAAAGAAAAAATGTAATATATTAAAAACAAAATAAGATGGTAGATATAATTTCGACTTTATCAGTTATCAAAATAAATGTAAATAGACTAACCTTACCAGAGAAACTATGGGGATTCCAGGGTGAGACTTTTTTTTTAAGGCAGCAAACAAAATAATTATATTGCTGTTTATGAGTAATAAGTCTGAAACATTCTGATGCAAGGAACCAAAAGAAAGCTGGCACAAGTATCTTAATTTTAAGAAAAATTAGACCAAGGCAAAAGCATTAACAAGGGTAAAGAGATTCATTCAACAGGAATGAAATAATTCCCTAGGCAGACTTAAGTATTTCCAGGAATAGGTAAGTGTCATGAATTTGTGTGTATAACATACTTCCAAAATATATAAAGTAAAAGTATTGATTATAGATAAATGGGCAGCCTTACAATTAATATTTTAACATACCTCTTAATAACATCAGACAGATACTAGTAAAGAAATGGGAGACTTGAGTAAAAGAGTTAACAAGTTTGGGCTCATGGACATTTTTAGAACCCTGCAACTAATAATTAGATCATACACAGGAAATTTATGAAATTTGACCACATGCCAAGTCACAAAAGAAGTTGCAGCAAATGATACATAATTAATATGCAGTCCACAATGTAGTGTTATTACAAATCAAAAGATAAATCATTATCATGTTTGGAAATTAAAAAATATTTTACAGTAATTCATGGGTCATAGAGGAAATTATTATGGAAATTAAACTTCTACAGACACCAAAAAACATTATGTATCAGCCTTTTTTTTTGACAAAATCATTATAGCCAATTGATTTCTTTTATTGACACATAATACTTTACATATTTATGGGGTATATGTTGAGTGTTTTACATGTATCAGATCTGTACTTATCAAGTCAGGGTATTTGGGGTATCCATCACTTTGAGTGTTTATCATTTCTATTTCTTGGTAATATTTCAAGGCCTTTCTTCTAGCTACTTTGAAATATACGATCTAATATTGCTAACTGTACTCACCCTAGTCTGCTATTGAACATTAGAACTTATTTCTTCTAACTGTAAGTTTGTATTTATTCACCAACTTCATTTTCCCCTTGCACCCTTCCTAGCCTCTGATATCTATTATTCTATTCTCTATCTCCACATGATCAAGTTTTTAAACTCTTACATATCAATGAGAGCATGCAGAATTTGTCTTTCTGTGCCTGGATTATTTCACTTAACATAACGTTGCCGCAGATGACATGACTGCATTATTTTATGGCTGAATAGTATCTCACTGTGCATATTATGTATATCACATTTTCTTTATCCATTCATCCATTGATGGGTGAATTAAATTGATGGATTGATTCCATATCTTTACTATCAAACCTTTTTAATTGTAGGTAAGATAGTACTCAGGAGACTAATTCATAGGCTTAAATGCACATATATGGAAAGGTTGAAATGATCTAAATATTTAATACAAGCATACCAAAAGAAGTAGAAGAAAGAAAATGATAATGCTAAAAATAGAAATTAGAGACAGAAAACAAAGAAACAGTAGAGAGGCTCATTGAACCAAAATCTGGCTCTTTGAAAAGACTAATGAAAAGATGAGCCACTCAAAGAATGTATCATAGAAAAAGAAGGCACAAATAGTGTTATTAAAAATGGGAAAATGGAGCAGTAACTATGAATCGTTTTATGCCGGTAGATTTGAAATGACAAAGGAGCAGATGAAATTGGCTGTTTTCTAGAAGA